GCAAATAACCAATTGAGGTCTTCGGACACAGTGTCCAAGGGCAGGCTGAAACAGGAAACATTCACATACAAACAAACTAAAAGTGCACAAACCGTGTGTACGCACACATTCTTCAAATAACAACCACTGGCCTTTTTTTGGCATCTCAGCAATTTGATGTACATCAAGCATGTACTGCGAACACATGGAATTGAATTTGAATCAGTATTTCTGCCTCGTTATCCAGTAAAAATGTCTAAACATCCTCATAACAAGATCAATTGAAGTTCACTTGGTCATCACTGTAAAAAAAAAATATTGTTGGTTTAACTTAAAAAAAATGAAGTAACTTGCTGGCCTTAAAATTTTAAGTTCATTGAAATGGAAAAAATTGAGTTGATACAATGAGGGAGATTGATTTAATCACCAGAAACTCAAAATATGATATTATCTGAACTACATAAATGATTTAAGTTGATTTGACAAAAGAAAAAAATAATGTGATTACAAATCATGAAAATATTTGTTTACAGTGTGGTTATTTTTATTATTTTTATCCAGGTGCTGGGTATTGGCAGATTTATTTCATTTATTAAGTATACTTGATTGCATTTAATAATATATGATGAAATGAGAAATATTTCGTGCTTGATAAAGAAACTTTCTCTGAAAAGAATTCTTCATGTCATAAATACAATTTCCATAAGAGGATATTTACATGTTTTTACACTGATAAAGTAATAAAAAAATGATTTTCAGTGTACTGAATATGTAACAAAAAATAGAGAAGAGAGGAGAAGAGAAGAGATGGGAAGAAAAGACAAAAAAGAGAAAGTTTTCCCCATATAGTGAGGAATGTTCACACATAGACTTCATGCTGACAAGAAGACAATTAAAGTCTGCCAGAGATGGATACAGCAAATGGCTGAGGTATTAGCATACAAACACACAGGCAAATGCTAACACACACACACACACACACACACACACAAAGACTAAAAAGTTGGGTCAAAATGACAAAATCTTTTCCTGCATACCTAGAGAAGCAGTCATGCTGAAGTGTTCCTCATAAGAGAATCATCCACAGATAAATAGCTGGACTTGCCGGTCACTGCTGTGTCCTGACGCTCTTGCACGCTTACTTTGTTCCCCAGTGTCACTCTTTCATGGCCCCAGTCTGTACCGTTGCCTGCTTTGTCACTTATTCCACCTCACATTCTCTCTTTCCCTCTCTCTCTCTCTCTCTCTCTCTCTCTCTCTCTCTCTCTCTCTCTCTCTCTCTCTCTACCTCCCTCTCTCTCTCTCTCTCTCTCTCTCTCTCTCTCTCTCTCTCTCTTGTGCTGTCTGCTTCCCGGCACAAACACTGACCATGGGCTGCACGTGACGTCACACAGTTGCTGTTCTATCTAACTCTGTCCCCTTCTCTCTACTCATTCGTGTCTAGCCTGAATGAAGTCATTGAGATTTTGGAATTCTGTTAAACCCCAGATGGAAAACTACTTCACGTCATTCTTCCAGCAGGCAGGACTGGTTCACTGACTCCAGGCTTGAGGAGGGAAGGGGGAGGGCTGAAGGAAAGGAAGAGGGAGGGAGGATGGGAGGATGACTGCCCCCAACTGGCATAAGGCAGAAAGGCAGTGAAAGACCCCCATGGCTTCATTAGCATATGAGTTCATGAGTGCTCTCCTGCCTTTGATAGGCCATTCAAGCATTGTTCTCGGCAAACTCTCTCAGTCTGTTTCACCTAAATCAACGGCAGCGCTGGGGTCAGGGGTGAGGATGTCCTTTTATGGACTCCCTTATGTTCTAAAGCGCACAACATCTGCTTCTATGCAAAACAGTCATTTTCCTCATCTTGGGCTTGTTTTGGAGTAAAAACATGCAAGCATCCTGTTGGTTTAACTTAAATAAATAAGTAACCTGGTTGCCTTAAAAATTTAAGTTCATTGAAATGGAAAAATTTAGTTAATGCAATGAAGGAGATTGATCATCTAATCTCACTAATTAATCATCACAAACTCAAAATATTATGTTATCTGAACTACATAAATGGTGTACTATATAATTGTAATAGAATATAATATATAATATAACTATATAAATTAAGTTGATTTGACAAAAGAAAAAATGTTGTGATTTCAAATCATGAAACTATTTTTTTACAGTGTGACAAAGACTTTATTATGATTTTGTTCCTTTGGCAGACAATTTCACTCATTTAAATATCGATCTACCTTAATTCAATGAGGTTTTATGATCAAATTAAACTGAACAAAAGCAACTGGAATCAAAATAAACTTGAAAAAAACATTTGAGACTAAAAGAAAGTCTGTACTTCAAAACGAGGAGGGGAAAAAAATCTAAATTACAAAAACATTGTTTAGGGTTTTGAAATGTGATTATCTAAAATGAATCAAACACCAACCCGGTCTCATCCCAAATCGTCATATAACTGACGTTTTGGGACGTCTTTTGACCATACGTCAATATTCGCCTTTTTAGGGCCCCCTTAAACGTCGGTAGATGAGGTTATGGGATCCTAACTCTACCCCATACCTAAACTTAACCCTAAACCTAACCCGTCACCTAACTGACGTTAAAGGTAAAGCGTCAGTTGTATGACGGCCCGGGATCGCCATCTACCGACGTTTAAGGGGGCCCTAAAAAGGCGGATATTGACGTATGGTCAAAATACGTCCCAAAACGTCAGTTATATGACGATTTGGGATGAGACTGTGTTACAAACACATACTTTAGATTTGTCACTTTTTTAAGTCACTAAAATTATATGATAACAATTTGTAATGATTTTTATATATATATAATTTGAGAAATGCAAAACAAGGGGGAATATGTCATCGTTATCGATCCAAGACTCAAATACCAGGTTTGGTGAATTAATTTTGTTTATAGATGTTTATGTATTTTTATATACCACTGTTCAAAGGTTTGGTTCAGTACGAATTATGCAGCAAGGATGCATTATTGATCGAAATTCACTGTGAAGATGTTTACATTCTTACAAAAGATTTATATTTTAAATAAATGCATTTAAAAAAATAACTTTTTATTCATCAAATCTTGAAAAAAAAAGGAATCCTGTTTTGGGGTATTTTTAATGCAGCCTTGGTGAGCATACGAGATTTCTTTCAAAGACACTTAAACAAAATTGAACAGTAGTGTTTTAACACATATAAAGGGGGATAAAAGCTTTTAAATAACAGACAAAATTCCCCGCTAAATTTAACTTAATATCTAAATTCAGTTGGTAAGGGGGAAAAAAATCATATTTAGAGTGTTGTCATGAAAAAAAAAAATACTTTTCCTGTGTCTCCTTTATCACACTGCAGCGTACCTAAAGTGACCTCAGCCACTGTAGCACATAAATAAATTTAAAGGGGCAGTGCTTTTTACTTCCTTCCCCCTCAAACGTCTCTGTAAATATTTGCATTTGTCTGTCAGTGAGAGTTTGGCATGTGAGAGCTTCTATTTTCTCCTGTTTATTTAGACACTAAAACATAGATGGACTGAAGTTACATAACCTTCAAATCTTCCCACATCAGGAAATTAAAATATACAATATCCTTAGTCCTCGGGGCCAACTAGTTGAAGGCCGGATGTGTTAAACATAGTGATAATGAAATAAATTAGTATTTTAAATGAAAATAATAAAAACAATAAACCGTATAATGAAAGTAAGGAATCTTGTAATGACCAAAATTGGACTATTATACAGGTACGACTTAAAGATTATATATTATTTAATTGTAAAAAAAATATATACACATACACATGGAACACTGTAGTTAGGAGAATTTTGACCTATTTGGTTTTCCATACAACTTATATTCTTAATTTGTTAAATTTTAATTCAATGACTTGTCTATCTATCAATATTATTTATACAGTAAAAAGTTAAATGTATACCACAGTATTAAAAGGGGCAATAATCTTTTTGGATCTGTGAGTTATGTTGTAATATAATGTGACAATGCGTTCTCCATAGCTCTTGCAATCTATTTTTATTCCCAGTATTCTACCATTTTCCTGTGCCTCCTCATTAAGATTTAATCAGGCAATACTATTTCCCTCATTAAAAGTTACATAACTGACTGATAAATAATTTTTTATGAGTGATATTTGAATCTTTGTCTTGGTTTTTGTGAAAGTGATGATGTTTTCGACAATGCTTAATATTTATCTTTTATAATATATCTTTTTGTTGTTGTTGTTGTTGCTTTTTGCATAAGTTTAACAAATATGGAGTTGACTGGTTAAAAAAAAGGAGCCTTCCTTTCATTTTTACGGTTATGCTACGGTATATCTAAACTGAGTTCGCTTGGCTCAAGTAATGTGTCATGCATTATTTATTTGTTGTGTGCTAATTAGTTGCTCGACAATGGCAGTTGTTTCACAGTGAAAAAAAATTACAGAAGAGACAGAACAACAACAACAACCTACTGGAGATCGCAAGAACAATAGTCGATAAACAAAGTATTGTGTGAGGAGGTTAAGAGATAGCTGTCACATTTTTATCACTAACTTCTGGAGATAAATAATGCTTACAATAGACGAGAACGAAACTTTCTGCACATGTCAAGAGCGTCTGTGTTTGTGCAAAATATGAAACGGAATGTACATTAAAAGGCTGTGTGTTTACATGTATGCATACTGTGAGCGTTCGCGTCAAAACTGAAGTATAATTTAAGGGTTAATTCTAAGCACCCAGTTCCAGGTTCCCAAAGCACCGAATGGCCAGGTTTAGAGGAAGTATGCATCCTGACCCAGAGGGCCACGTCCTGTAGCAGAGTTATTTTGAGCGGCACAGATTTTGTGACAGCAGCAAGACAAACTTTGCTAGAGGGGACTGTTTTTAAAGGTCAAATTTGTGCAAAATATAGTTCAATGGAGGAATTCCTTGAATGGATTAACCAAAGACATACACAAAAAAATCTCATCTCATCCTGTCATGCAGTTGCACGAAGTAGCATAAGGCTGTAGCCACCATGGTAGCTGATTACCTTGCCATATTGGAGAGCTCATGTAGTGTCTACTGGTTTGAGAACCAGGTCTTGAAGTGATGAAGTCATGTGAACTCTTCACTGTGAGGAGAAAAATACATTTAAGCACAATGTTGTGCCACAGGGTTCTATACTTGGACCAATTTTATTTTCATTGTATATCTCAATTTTTCATAAATACAACATTTCGTAACATTTATATGTTGTTGATACACAACTTTATATTTCACTCAGTCCAATTGGGTCTCAATTTTGTCTACAAGTACATTGCTTTGATGAGGAGAACGCATGGTTGCCAGTCATTTTCTCTATCTTAACCCTAATAAGACAGAGTGTGTTGTTTTTGGATCTCTTTCTGCCACCCAGGAGACCAAGTAGGCTAGCCACTATTTCGTCAAGCGTTTGTGATCGTGTTAAGAACCTGGGTGTTAAGGCCCTTGCACACTGATTACGAAATACGCGGCCGAAATCTTCGCACGTTAAAAAATAAATACGACCTCACGTTATGTCAATCACGCTTGCACACTGCCTCCGAAACTTTCGTCCGTCATAAAAAGAAATCGCAACGTGTTCGATTTTCTACGTTTTTCGCATCTGTAGCAAGCAGTTTGAATGGTGTTTTGACAATTCAGAGCCACTGAATCACGAATACGAAAAAACGCAAACGAAAATTTCGGACTTAGTGTGCAATGGCCTTTATTCTAGACTCTTGCATTAATACTTTATAGTTTTGTTAGGGGTGGCTTCTACCAACTCCAAATTGAAATCGATTCGTGCTACTACAGACAAGGATACCGTAATTCATGCATTTGTCTCATCATATATATATTTTTTTTTAATTTGCTACATACATGTATTTCTCAGTACTAATTAACCCACCCTGACCTTTTGGTTTTTCAACAAAATGCTAGAAGATTGAGATCATCTAACTAGATGGTGCTCCTTGTTCAAAAAACTAGATTAAAATCAAAAGGGTTATATGACTTTTTCTGTTGTTGCATGCTGATTGTGGAAAACTGAGAATACTGTTAAATTACCGTAAAGGTATTTCTTTAGTACTACACTATATTTTTTTCATAAGTGACCACAAAAGGGTGCTATGATATCTTTAAAAAGACATTTTTTAAAAAAATATTACATAAGACTGAAATTGTGAGGTAAACAAACTCACATTACAAACATTAAACACTGTGTCCGCCTTACCATATGGAGTGGGGGGTGTCACAGGAAATGCCGGTGTGGGCGGAACTTGATTAAGACCCACCCACAGTGGGCTGTCAACCTCTGGAGGCTGGTCACCAAAGTCAACAGTGTCAGTGTGATATAGACCTCTCTGGAACAGACGAAAACACACAAGGCATTGTTGTAGGAATGTTCCGGGTTCAACACAAGTTTAACTTGTATTTTAGTTGACTGGGTAGAAGTTTGTACAGGGTTGGTGAGCCATTCAATTGCACTAGTTTTCAGGCTATACACGTATGTTGTAATTGTGCAGGTATAAATATGTGTATATTTATACCAGGGATGGTGTGTCAAAAGCGAATCTCTGGAAGTTCTGGATTTGATCACCACTCGCACTCCTCAGCACAGAGTATTCAGAGACGTCACTGAGCTTTTCCCGTCTCCAACCTGGACAGAGAAAGAGAGGGAAAGAAAGAAAGAGTTATTTAGCAGGCATTTTTGACAAACACATTTGACTGCGACCAGTCATTTAGAAATCTTAACCATAATTTTCTAACAACATCTAACAAAGTTAAAGTGTTTCATACAGCATGACCTAAAATACAATGTTCTTACACAATGCTTGTTTTGATAAGATCCATGAGAACCCATTTACCTCAGGGCTGTAAGAAAATCCATTCCACAATAGGGCTGTGCAAAAATTAATTCCGATTAATCGCATCCAAAATAAAAGTCAGTGTTTACATAATATATTTGTGTGTGATGTATATAATTATTTTGTATATGTAAATACACACACATGCATGTATATATATATTTAAGAAAATGTGTTATTCAAATCTAAAATATTTATATTTATATAATATACGTAGATTATATGGTAACACTTTACAATAAGGTTCATTAGTTTACATTAGTTAACTACATTAGTTAACGTGTACAATATGTGAACAATACTTCTTCAGCATTTATTAATCTAAGTTAATATTAATTCCAACATTTACTAATACGTTATTAAAATCAAAGGTTGTATTAGTTAACATTAGTTAATGGACTGTGAACTAACATGAACGCACAATGAACAGCTGTATTTGTATTAACTAACATTAACAAAGATTAATAAACACTGTAACTAATGCATTGCTCATCGTTAGTTCATGTTAGTTAATGCATTTACTAATGTTAACTAATGAACCTTATTGTAAAGTGTTACCGATTACATATATATATATGTATATATATATATACATATATATACATACAGAATTTAAGCGCAAATAATTCGTAAATATATACATGCATGCATAGGTATTTATATACAAAATAATTATATACAACACACACAAATAAAAACAGATACATGAACATTTAATAAATAAAAATAAATAAATATTAAAATAAATAAGCAAATAATCATTATGTATTACATTTTTAGTACTCAAAATAAACTGTTGTATACAAGACCTGTGAAACTGCTTCCGTTTTGCATTTCTGTTTAAACAATTTTCATCATAAATTGTATCATCACATAACAGTATGACCAAAAAGTTTTTCATAATGTCTTTTTTTAGTTTCTGTATTTTGCTTTAAAAGCAGCACCAAATGAAAAAGATGTATTAAAAAGAAAACTATGAACCATCTTCTCTAGAATTGTTTGACATCCAAAGTGTATCTTGAGCTTCAGTAACGCAAATTTACTTATTTGATAAGTGACAATCCAGAGTCTTAAAAATTCCTATTCATTTTACATAATAATTCTTGGTTATCTAATCTTTTTAATCCTAAACTGATTATTTTCAGGTTAAAAAAAAACTACTTTAAGACCCAGTTTTTCATAATGACTATAAAACATGGTAATAATTGATTACAAATGGCCAACAGTACAGGCTCTGTTAACTATCCCTTTAAAAATCCTCAAGACTGCGATGGGGAAAGACAACATGTTTTTGTGTCAGGATACGCTCACTTCAAAAGAATTCCTTAGCCCTTACACATGTGTATTCACACACACACACACACACACACATATACCACAGGGCATATATCTAGTGACATACTATGGTACTAACAACACTCTGCATAGATTTCTGTTCAACAGGAGGAATTCACCACTCAACTAAAGGACTCCATTCCAGGTGCCAGAGCTGCTCTGACATGGTGACATGGGCTGTTGAAAGGATCTTCTAAAAGAATAGATAGGAGACGCATGCAAGGCAGGGGACACACTTCAAAAGCAACAAGGCTCCTTCAGTCTGCTGAGGTCAAAGAAGCCAGAGTATTGAGTTCACGGGGAGACTGCATCACAGATGTGTTTGGTAAAGAGCAGCAGTCAATATGACATTAGGAAGTCACTAAATAGTTGTCAACCACTAGATATATGATTGTCAAATTTTAAACAAAAAGGCAGCTCAGAGGTTACATAAGCAAGATGCAAGCACTCCATACTAGACCTGGATGTTTAGACATTCAAACACAGTCACAACTTGCACACACGCGCACACATACTCACTGAAATGAAAGGCAGGACTTTATTTTCTTTAGAAAACCTGTCAGGAGCTGCACATAGAGAACCATTGTATGTTACTTGTGTGCATTTATTAACATAATTTAGGCCCTTGCCAATAGAAACCTCAATGGAAACATCAGCTCAAACTCAAAGTCACTAGACTGCAGACTCAGAAATTAACCAGTGAACAAGACAAAAAAATGCCACTGAAAACAAAAAAAAAAATGCATATATATAATTGAAATGTGTTGATAATATATATATATATATATATATATATACTGTATATGCTTATATACATACACACTGGGCCTACCATTCAAAAGTTTGGGGTCGGGTGCAATATTTTTATATGTTTTTGAAAGAATTTGAAAGTGAGTTATGTTCACCAAGGTTTTCAGCATTATTACTTCTTAATCTTTCTAATATGCTGATTTGATGACCAAAAAACACTTGGTTGAACATGCTGAAAACAGCTGCTGCTTAATTTTTTTTTCCAGGATTCTTTTTTATGTTATTATTTTCAATGTTCAAAATAACAGCATTATTTTGGAATAAAACATTTTTTGTAACATTTTAAATGTGCTTATTTGTTATTAAATTGGTCAAAAGTGACAGTACCTTACCGATCCCCTTCTTTTGAACTGTAGTGTAAATCTAATAAACACCATAATGGATGCACTATGATATCTTTTAACAGTTACTTTAACATTGAATTGATTTTACAACCATAACAATGAAATGTTGAGCAATTATTTAAATCAATATTATTTGAAGAGTTCAGATGCAAAAGCCTCTAAGTGCCATTTGAAATTTTCTTCTAGAATGATCATTTTTATCAAGCTTGTATATTTAAGTTCAGTGATTTCACTTAAATGGCAATGATAATTACCTATTATTTGTTATTTAAGTGAAATTACTGAACTTAAATATACAAGTTTGATAAAAATCATCATAAAAGAAGAAAATTTCAAATGGCATTTAGAGGCTTTTGCATCCGAACTCTTCATTTGATAACTGACAGCATGCTATGGGTTTTAGACATATCTAAATCTCTCTCTCTCTCTCTCTCTCTCTCTCTCTCTCTCTCTCTCTCTCTCTCTCTCTATAAATATATATATATATATATATATATATATATATATATTGAACACTGTGTCTACACTGAATGTCGAAAGTGACTGTAAGTGGATTGCTTGTCAGTTGAAATCACTAAATGGATTTAGTACTGGTGAATGTGTGATGATTTGCTCTTACCTGATTGGTGGGATTTAACCCTTCCATCTGAGTGCGTCTTTCCATTGGTGTGAAGGGAGGCTGAGCTGGTCATGTGACTCCTTGCCTGTGTGGGGATTGGCTCAAAGTCAGGATCAAGGTCCAGTATCAGCTGATTGAGCTGTTCGATTGACTGATCTATATCCAAAGCCAGTGTTGCAAACTCATCGTCCTTCTCTGGCTCTGACTGCGCCTCTGGAAAGCCGTTGTCTGATAGCGAAGGTTTGCCTCCACGTCTTTGGAGCTCCGTCTCCTCGTGTTTCAGTCCGTCTGATGGAGTGTGCATGTATGAGGTGGACTGTGACACCGACTGCTGCTGTTTCACCCATATTTGTGTCTGATATCCAGCAGGTACTGATGAGGGTATGAGTGTGTTTGAGGAACTCACATTATCTCTAAATATGGCAGGAGGAGCTCCAGTTTGACAATCATTTGATTGGATAGAGTTCTGACATTCACCTGAAGAAAAACCAGACAGTTCCTTTGAAGATTGTGTGTCTTTAGAGTCTGAAACAGCAGCAATGGCATCATTAGGGGTGGTGATGTCGTCGTCATCATCTATAATGTCCGTCTCCCGCTCTATGAACATAGCTTTACCGTTTAAATGACCGGAATGATCAAATGTAGCTTGACTGGCTATTGGGTCGTGTCTCGGGATCCCTGGAGAAGGTTGTTCCTCCTCCATTCTGAGCCCAGGATTATCTCTGTGGAGCTGAGTATGCTCCTCAGAGCTGTAGCTGATTGTGAGCCCAGAGGCTTGTCCTCCAGTCCACTGGGAGGAGCTGGAGAGTCCAGAGTCACTGCTCAGAGAATGGTCGCCTTCATTTGGCTTGGCTGTGGAAGAAAGAACAAAAATTAACAGTACAATAGAGTGCCGAAGTTAAGACAAATTTGTAGGCCAACCCGGAAGTTAGCATTGGTTCCCTCGACAAAAGCCCAAGAGGATTATTCCTTATTGCAAAAATAAGCTCTGTGATCAACAAAAGTTTATGAAACTTACACGTTTTGTCGATCAAGATCATTTTCACAAATAAACACAGCTTTTGTTAATTTTGATGTCTAAATACAATCACCAGAAGTAAAAAGCTAAATGTAGGCTCTAAACTTACTACACCACGGTCACATGACCTCAACATCACCACCAATAAGCTTCAGACAAATTCTTTCAGTTTTTATCGAAGGAAAAACAGAAGATTGAAACATGACTAATAAACACAACTACAACAATATATCGGAGTACTTTAAGCCTTCTCAGGTATTTTCTTGATAATAAAGTATATTTATACTACAGTGCTAATCAACATAGTCTTTATCACTGTATAGAATACTATGAAGTAATTATGTTGTGTTTCTTATTCGGTGTAAGAATCCACATAATCTCACAAAAGGATGTTTTCAACGGTTTTTGTGAGTAAAAAAATGTTGTGAGGACAAGAGGTTCATAAATGCTTCTCATGATTGGAAAGATTTTTGATGCACGTTGCTTTTTTCAAATGCACGACTCACTCACAATGCTTTCAGATGGAGCAGAATTTCTACTGATCACAGAGCTGTGCTTCACTGACAAGCTGCTCATAAAATATAAATCAAAGCCTTTGCGATTTCATTATCACACTAAGCCAAATCACTTTAAAGTGTAATTTCATGTTAATTGCGATTAATCGTGCAGCCCTGGTCAAAGTGGTTGTTGCATAGCTGTCAATGGAGTGACAGAATCGCTCAGAATTGATCAAAAATAAACTTCATTTGTGTTGTAAAGATGAACAAAAGTCTCTTAAGGGTTTAGAGCGACATGAGGGTGAGTAAACGATGACAGGATTTTTATTTTTTGGTGAACTAACCCTTTTAGTAATTTGTGTATCACGTGTATCACTCTCTGGCCTATATAACTTTATACTGACACCTATTAATGTGGATGAAACATCTTGCAAATGAAAAATATTTCGGCGACAGATGCAATTGTAGATTTTCACTTCATTTTAAACATGTTTATCATAGGTACTTATCTTCACCCACTCCTCTATTTAGCCCTGTGTGTCATAGTCTGGGATACATAGGTGATGTTAACACGTCTCAGACACCTTAGTCATCACACAAACACACAGATGTGGATGTCTTTGTGTGGCCATTGTGTGTGTTCTAGCAAAGACACATCAGTCAGCCAGCGGCAGCTGAACACAGATCTCGGCAGATAGCATCATGTGTCATGACACACTCACACACACTCACATTGATTATGACTGATAACGCATATCTACCATTCAACATGAAGCCAGAAGGCAGCATCACACATGCAGGCTGTACAAATGCACGTAAACACCAACATTTAGCATCACGCCACACTCTAAGATCAATTTTGACAGCTGCAGGAAATGAAGTACTTTTACAGGCCAAAAACAGGAAACAAGTTTATATTGTAGCAAAGGTTGCATCCTCCTGAACTCAATGAGTTTTTGGTTAAATACATGGAATAAGGTCTGTGGTGAACACAAGCTCAAGACATTTTCATGTTTTATTTATACGACATTAAATATTTCAGAACACCCCCTTGTGTTAAAGTTTTTAGTTGTCTTGAAAAAGGTGATTGCTAACAAGTGGCTAAATGGGACTGAAGAGGTTGTCGGAGAATTTAAACATCATCATAACGAACAGATGTGTAAACTCACTCGTCCGCTTTCACAGCCTTATAGTGTTTATAATCACACTCTTGCAAATCACTCTAGCTCAAACTTTCATGGTAAAAGTTTTCTTTTAAATAAAGAAAGAGTTTACGTTATAGCCTAAGTTTAGCTTTTTACTTCTGCTGATTGTATGTAGACTTCAAAATTCATAAAAGTTTCATTTGTGAAGATTACATGAACAAAACATTTAAGAGATAAAATAAACTTTTGTTGGTCACAGAGCTTATTTTCTGCAATCATATTCAAATCCTAAGTCCTAAAGATAAGTTCATCATTTGTTATTATGCACTGAATGCGTACATGTTTTTACATACGTTTTCTCCAATTATACAGTTGACCCAACCTCTTAACCATCCTTTTAACCTACTAAACATACCACCAAACCTGTCCCGTCCTATACCTGTACCCCACCTCAATAGCAGCAAAAGAGTTTTGCAATACTGTACCTACGTAGATAGTAGTTAAAGACACCTAGACTGATCAGAAAATGGTAAAACTGGTCAGTATGTGAACTGGTGAAAAACAGACTCTTTTTAACTAAACCAGTAAAGCTTCTCTAGTCTCAAGAGGCTGAAATCCAAATACCAGGCATGCATGATAAAACTCCACAGCTGGCATCTCTCTCTCTCTCACTCAAACACACACGCACGCACAACAACAACTGAGATTCAATAGTCACCATACTATCATACACACTTTATTAAAATCTAAAATAAATTTATAATAGACCACTTGAACAAAACTAACTAGCTCAAAGCCTCAAACAGACCAATGCATTAACGACATGACTTTGACTTTGAATTTAACAAAAAAGTTTGACCTTTCTTGGTCATGTTATTTAATATTTGGCCCATGTTTCATCAAAGCACTTTTAGACTATACATCAAATGCAAAACGGGAAACACTCAAAAGTACTTCGAAAGTGCCTCATCTGGCAACTTTCTTTCTGATAAATGAAGCACAACTGCATTCATTTATCACAAGAGCTTTCAACAGCTCACAAAACAAATCAACCGTTTTGCTGTTGAAAGTCTATTCCACCGCTTCAAAAACCCACGGAGCAGCACAAACCTAATGCTTTCCAGAAACATCCTCTCGAATCTGACCCCAAAGGTATCTGAGAGGACAACAGATGACTTTGACCATAGAAACTGTTACAAAGAGCAAGAGAAAGAGACATCTGCCAGAGTCACAAGTGAAAAGAGAGATTATACAATACACAAAAAATCTAATAATATATATATATATATATATATATTCATTGAATGAATAAAGAAATGGGGGGAAAGGCAAGCAGTCCTGACCGTGTTTATCCTGCAGGCGACTGTTCCCATTTTGTCCTGCATGCTCTCTCTTTCAGTCCTTCTCTCCTCATGCAGTTTTAAACAGACAGGCAGCTTGCATTCTTTCCCATAAGGTGATAACAGCTCCCCTGGGTCTCCTTTTCTTTACTCTTCTACTTTTTCTTTCTCTCAGTCAATCTTTTTACTCCCTTTCCCCTGATTTCCCTCCTCCCTTTCCTCTTACAGTGTTGCTCGCTCTCCCCGTCTCTCTCTCTCTCTCTCTCTCTCTCTCTCTCTCTCTCTCTCTCTCTCTCTCTCTCTCTCTCTCTCTCTCTGTCTCTCTCTCTGTCTCTCTCCACCTCAACACACAGGTAACCCCTTTCAGGTGCCCCTCATGGGTGTACGGGAAAATCCTGGCTTGGGAAGCATTATTCCGCTTGAACCAGCCAATGCTCCTCGGAATACAGCTGTACACACACACACACACACACACACATATGCCTGTTGTAGAGCGCGCATGGACGCTCCGAGGACCTTGAGCCCTCCAAATATGGAGAGGGGAATGTAAACACAAGGGCGGAGTTATGTGTGGGTGGAGAGATGGAGCGCAAAGAGAGACTGAGCAAAAGAGAGAGATAAGAGAGGTATTGATGTACTAAAGAACAAGAGTGTTAGGTAAAAACAAAATGATGAAAGTAAGATTGAAAGAAAGCAAAAGAAAGATAACAGGAGAGAGATAAAAAAAACAGTCTGAAACTTTGGGCGACTGGTAGTAGTAGCATTCCTTCAGACTGTTTGTCGCTGCAACTGGCAATAATTACAGACATACAAGTGTGTGTTTGTGAGTGTGTGTAATTCTATATTTGAGCTTACGTATTGTAAATTGTAAAGGCTGTTTGTGCACCAACCATGAGGCATCTCTAAATTACACGGCTGCTTGGGACGGAATCACACAACCAGATGTGCATCAAGTCCCATATGACACACACATGCGCACACACACATTAAGCTGTTGGGATTGATTTTTTACAGTTATGAAAAGAAACTCCCCGCCTTTAAACATCCGGGCCTGGAATTTCCAATTCTTGTGCAAAGGGCCACCATAACAAGTGTGACGAAGTGTAACAGTTCTCTGATCGCTGAACTTTAACTGGACAAGGAGAACAAAGTTCATTTATTAAAGTTAAACACTCACTATGTTCCACTCCCTGAAGCGGATTTACTTCTGCAAAATTCTATATTATGTGTAGGGGTAGATGGGGTAAGATGTGCCTCTTTTGTTACTCTACAGTACTCATCAAAAGATTTTAGTCCACAATATATATATATATATATATACAGTATATATATATATATATATATATATATATATATTGTGGACTAAAATATATATACATATATGTATTGTAGAGTAACAAAAGAGGCACATCTTACCCCATATATATATATATATATATATATATATAAAGAAAAGCAAGGATGCATTAAATTGGCCAAAAAGTTACTAATTATGTTACAAAAGATTTCTATTAAAAAAAAATGCTGTTTAACTTTGAAATTCTGAAAAAAGCATTATTTTTTCACAAAACATATTAAAGGAGTAGTTCACTTTAAAAAAAAAATAAAACTTTTGCTGATAATTTACTCACTCCCATGTCATTCAAGATATCCATGTCATTCTTTCTTCAATCGAAAAGAAATTAAGGTTTTTGATGAAAACATTCCAGGATTTTTCTCCATATTATGCACTTTAACCAAACGGTTCAAGGTCCAAAAGACAGTTACAGTGCAAACTGTTCAAAGGGTTTTAAATGATTCCAGACAATAATTAAGGGTCTTATCAAGCGAAACGATCGCTCATAAAAAAAAAACAAAAAAACCCCAAAGTTTAAGTTTTATAAGCTCAAATGGTCGACTTGCTCTGTTCTGTGATGTGTGTTTGTGACTCTCCTTTTCGAACTCATTCATCAAAATGAACGATGCTTTTCCCGAGTCAATTGGTTCATTTCGTTCGTTGAACGAACCAAATGACACGAAAAAAGATTTGTTCATTTTGAACTAATCCATTTGGTTCCGAGTGAAGTCCATTATCACTGTAAAAAAGTATTTTCACGATTTGTTATCACAACATATTTTCTTTTGTCAAATCCAACTTTATAATAATTTATTTAGTTTATATAACTTATTATTTTGAGTTTCTGATGATTAAATTAATCTCCTTCATTGTATTAACTCACTTTTTCCAGTTCAATGAACTTAAAATTTTAAGGCAACCAGGTTACTTACTTTTTTAAGTTAAACCATCAATATTTTTTTACAGTGTGGAGAAAAATCCTGGAATGTTTTAACTTAAAACATAACATTTTAACTTAACTTAACATTTTAAAACATTTTAACTTAACTTAACATCTGATAACTTAAAAGTGGATATTTGTAAAAAATATCAATATTAAAATAGCTTTCTAAAAGCACAATGCTCACAAACTGCCTTGCTCTGTTCTGTGATGCATGTTCGTGACTCTCCTGTTCGAACTCGTTCATCAAAATGAACAAATCTTTTTTCGTGTCATTTGGTTCATTCAACGAACTGAATGAATGAATTGACTCGGAAAAAGATTCTTTCATTTTGATGAACAAGTTCGAACAGGAGAGTCACGAACATGCATCACAGAACAGAGCAAGGCGAGCATTTGAGCTTATAAAATGTATTTATTTATTTTTTAATGAGCGATCATTTCACTTTATAAGACCCTTATTCATCATCTGGAATCATTTAAAGCCCTTTTAACAGTTTGCACTGAAACTGTCTTTTAAACCTTTTGATTACCAGTAAAGTGCATTATATGGAGAAAAATCCTGGAATGTTATCATCAAAAACCTTAAAGGGTTAGTTCACCCAAAAATGAAAATTAAGTCATTAATTACTCACCCCCATGCTGTACCAACCCCGTAAGACCTTCGTTCATCTTCGGAACACAAATGAAGATATTTTTTGATTAAATTTGAGAGCTGTATAACTACCACATAGGCTCCTAAGGGATTGAAACTTGACGGCCCAGAAAGTCAATGAAGAAAATGTTTAAATATTCCATGTGACTACAGTGGCTCAACTATAAGTTTATCAAGCGACGAGAATACTTTTTGTGCGAAAAAACAAACAAAAATAACGACTTTATTCGACTATTCCTTTTCCTTTTATGTGGTAGTTATACAGCTCTCAAATTTAATAAAAAATATCTACATTTGTGTTCCGAAGATGAACGAAGGTCTTACGGGGTTGGTACAGCATGGGGGTGAGTGGGTGAAATGGTTTCCCTTTAATTTCTTTTCGACTGAAGAAAGAATGACATGGACATCTTGGATGACATGAGGGTGAGTAAATTATCAGCAAAAGTTTTTTGAAAAGTGAAATACTCCTTTAAATAGAATGATCCAATACCATTTTGCTTGCTTTCAACGATACATCACACTGTACATTCGTAGGAATTCATCATATTTCCTTCTCTGCCTTATTTCCTTTTGCTTAGAAGATCAGTTAGAAGACGACTTAAACTGAAACCGGAAGTAAATGTTCGCCCACTCTACCCTATACATACTGGCCCATGAATATCACGACTCATCACTGTTATGTCTGACCTCCATCCCCCTGTTTTGATATTCTGACTCACTTTTCAGGACAAAACATCATTAACGTTGAGCAGCTCTCTATTACTAGGGTTCGTTTAGTGCAGCAACGTTAACATTTACAGTAATTACAAACCCTCAAAGGGAAACATCCAAGGCAATAGCATGGAGAACTGTGGTGGTACTATGGTGACTGGCAGGTCATTATGGTCTGGAGGCCTCAGACCAAACAAGATTAGATTGGGGTCAAGTACAAGAATTTTACTATTATTGTATATGGAGGTTAAGCTTTTCCACCCACCCTGAACAGTCTCATATGTTCCAATTAACCTCAGCAAACAGTGCCCAGACTTAATGGCATTAGAGTTAAAGCGTGTTTCCTGTAGCAAACCGTTACTCGACAATTACTAGACCATTACTGAGACTTCATGTCTCGGAAAGCTATTCTTTGCATCCTGAAATAAACACTGCTTACATGTGCATTCATGCTTTTGTTTTCCTCTCCTAAAAATAAATATCCACAATCCCATGGTTTCACCATGGAAGTCCCACAAGACGCCAATGAAGTACAATGAAAATATGTTCCGAATTAGTGAATGCAAAGCCAGAATTAGTGCGCTTGGACAACGTGTATAGTATACATACTCTTCTATTTGAAAAATGCCCCCACAACTCTCCAGAAAAACAAATAGATATGATCACAAAAAAAAAAAGAATAACTAACTGTGATTCATGATGATTCGTAACATGTGATTCATGAGCAAAAAAGAAAGAGAGATGTGGTGGATTAAAAAACATATAGTGTTTTTCGTCCAATATTTGGGCTTTTTTCACTAATACTGTATTTATAATCGCTTTGCCGATAAGCAAATCTTTTCCCTTGCTGTTTTCCGTTTGAGTGAATAAAAAATGTGTAAATGAGCACACATCTTGTTTGCTATACATATAGTTGTGTCATGTAAAGTTGTCACATTATAAATGCTTGTTTTCGTTTCACATAAAAACCCTCTTATTATAACAAATGTTATCCTGTATACTTTAAAATAATAATATATGTTTTTCAGCTGTTTTTCAGCAACAATTTAATGCGTATTTGATGAATAAAAGTACACATTTATTTAAACAGACCCTAAACTTTTGAACATCTGTGACAACATGCCTTGCTTCTTTCTAGTATGTACACAGTTTGCTGGATATCAGAATCAGGCATTGGGAAACTCATTGGTTCTATTCAAGATGACTATTCTAGACCTATTCTAGACCTATATTCTATTCTATTTGTAGAACTTGAGGTGTCCAGTCTTACCTGCTGTATCATTTTCACTGAAGTCCCATTGAGCCTGTAGTGAATCCAGAGCGTTATTTTCAATGACAACGGCTGAACTGTTCCTCCAGTAGCCACAGTCTTGAAATAGAGAAACACAGTGTGATCATTTATAAATGTATACTGAATCATACAAATTCACAAAGACCTATAAAACATCTTCCACTGTGGAAAAATGTAAGGCCACCTGAAGCAAGGGATGGATCTCTCTCTGCTATTTCTGAGAAGAGCACCTCCACTACACCGTCCTCTGGGAATCTTGGGTCTTGAATGGAGACAAAAAGCAAATGATGACTTAAAGGGGATGGAAAAAACGACTCTGCACAGCAATGTGGGAACATCAACACATATGAGTTCAATGACAGTTGATGTATCTGTGACTTGTAAGCACGCTTGCCACAGCCATGTGACAATTTTCACTTCTGTCCATCTACATTACGGTTGTCTTGATTGTGTAAGGTTTCCCATTGTGCAAGGAGCAAAATTACACAAGTTTTTGTGTAAAGAGTTAAGACTGTTTCTCAGATCTGCTTGAGCCACCATGCGTCTTGCCTGTCATTATTTACCAAATACATTCGGCTCGCTCTCAATCACACACCCTCTCACACACCTGGAAACACCAACCTGCATTCAAAATAATGAAGCACAAACATATGTTGGCCCCAAACCGTGTGGAAAACAGATACTGCGGCTAGAGCTTTTCTCAGAGAACTATGAACATTTTCCAATAACATTTGTCGACTGGTACAAATACTTCCAGTAATCAATTTGAACAATGTATCTATTATTTTATCAGTCTCACTTTATATGAAGTGTCTTTATCTACCATGTACGAACATATAAAATAACCATTTGACTGAACGCACTTATTACTTGTATTTACATCATACTTGTATTTAAAAAAAACCTGCATGTAATTACAGCTCTATTTAATTTCTGTTATTACATCTATAATTACACGGTTGACCTTAGCCTTACCCTTTAACCAACCTTTAACCTTAAACATACCACCAAACCTGCACCGTACCTTACCCGTATCCCACCTCAATAGCAGCAAAAGTGTTTTGCAATACAACATGAGCACATTAGTTACATTGTACCTAGGCTAATATAAAGCGTGACCATTTTGCCTTTTGACTGAACATTTTTGTGCTACATACAAGATAAATGTCATTTGGTTTGATATTTTTCCAGTGCAAATACTTTCTTAGATTTTTATCTTCAAATATTTTTTGGCCAGCTTTGATGATTTTATTAAAAAAAAAGAAAGAAAAATGTGGGTACCATTGATGGCATGATCAAGGTCTTGTTTCTGCAAGGAAAGTTGGTCTCCAGATAGAGCGCCAGTGTGAAACTGCACGCGAAACACCGTCTCATTAGTCCTCACGGAAACATTTTTATGATAACAGGCAATCTGCAGAGAAAGAAGAAATGTCGATGATACAGTATACAGTTTTAATGTAAAAAATATATATTTTGGATAATTTATAAGCCTTTTAAACTAGTGAGGATGAAGAAAACGTCCTCACTGGGTGGTTGTCATATTTCACTATATAAGTGAGGACATTTGGCCCTCACAAGTATAGCCAAAAGTATAGCTTTTTTGTAGGATATAGTCTTTAGCACTTGTTTCTGTGGTTTAGGAATAGGGGTCAGGTTAGGGGTCAGTGGTTCTCAATCCACTGTATGAAAATAATTGTCTATGGACAATTATTGATTGTCTATGTCTATAAAACATGAAATAAAGCGCATGTGTGTGTGCATGAGAGAGAGAGAGAGAGATCTCACCATGAAATCACCATTGATCATCTGTGGGGGTTCCAGAATAAAACACACACTGTCCGTCTGACCTACGGCAACCTGACTGAGAGTTATACACAAGCACTAAATATCCACATATTCTAAATATAATCACATGATGATACACAATACGCACAGCATTTTACAAAATATACTTTTTTAATATTGTATTTATATATCATATCCAGTGTCTTACTGCACTCCTGATGTGTATATTGTCTGCGTGCCATGATACACTCTGATAAACAGCTGACACACTGAAAACAAACAAACCCAGACAAAAAATGTATTACAACTGATTATTAGTTCAAGTTAGGTTAATATAACATTTTTAGCATTTCATGTTGTATAAATAAAACTTCCAAAAAAAAGTCTGTCATCATTTACACACATTTGCTCATTTCGTTCTGACATTCTTTCTTCTGTAAAACACAAAAGAAGATATTTTAAATATATTTTGTCAATGATCTTGTGTCCGACAGAAGAGCGAACGTCATACAGGTTTAGAACGACATGAGAGTGAGTAAATGATTGACACAATTTTCATTTGTGGGTGAACTAATTACTCAAAATTACTGATGTATTTTTTCTCCAGACAAGAACTTTAGAAGAATTTGAACTATTAATGTTCATGAGAAATATTTAAGATATTAAATGGGGTGATGAATACTGCAATTATTTGGAAACTAAAAACACTATTTCACTTGTAACTTAAATGACTGGATGTAAGATATTGGCGTTTTCCTCACCTGTAGGGTGGAAGTCAGGGATGGGATGGATGTGAACGCGGTGGATGAAGAGAGGGGAAGGGTTTATGTGGATCTGGTGAGCAAGCAGCCTGCCAAACACCTGCACATACCTGACCCATCCACAAACACCTCAGTTACTCATACTGACACCAGACAATCCTAAATCAAGCCTCACAACAACTTCAGATGTTGAAAATAAAACAGCAAAAAAAGCGTCAGTCTGGTCTTAGCTGGAAATTATCAGGCTTTTAAAAACAAAAGGATTTAAGCGGAAGAAAGAATGCAGGAATATTTTAAAGGGTTATTTCACCCCCAAAAATTGAGAATTCTGTCATTAATTACTCACCTTCATGTCTTTCCAAACCTGTAAGATTTTCATTCATCTTTGGTTACAAATGAAGGTATTTTAATAAAATCCAAGAGCTTTGTCCCTCCTTTGACAGCTACGCAACTACTACTTTCAAGCCCAAAGAAAGGTAGTTAAAAGACATTATTAAGTGGTTTAACATCAATTATATAAAGCAACGTGAGTGGTTTGCGCAAAATAAACCCAAACAAACCATGATTTACCACTGTATTTATACAATATTAATCGTCAATGTGTTCCCGAGAGCACTACGACACATGCAAGTTGTGTTGATGCATTGTCGTTTAATATTTTGTAAATACAGTGGTAAATTATCTTGGTTTTTTATGCGCAAAGCATTCGTGTCGCTTCATAAAATTGATATTAACCACTGGAATCACATGATGTCTTTACTACCTTTCTAGAGCTTAAACGTGGTAGTTGCACAGCTGTCAATGGAGGGGCGGAAAGCTCTCAGATTTCATCAAAACGATCTTCATTTGTGTTCTGAAAATGGACCAAAGTCTTACGGTTTTGGAACAAAATGAGGATGAGTAATTAATGACAGAATTTTCATTTTTGGGTCAACTAACCGATTAAACCAAACAAGATAAAAGGTGTAAAAAGTGTTACTTATTCTAAAACCTGAAGAAGAAAAAAAACTAAATTTCTTAGCATGATTCACTGCTATTCTGGGTACGCCACATTATCAAAGAGAATACATAGCTTCTTTACAGTGTTGCCAAAAACATCGTCTTTGTGTTGTTCCAGCAACAGATCAGAGCTGAATATTTATGTTGTGATATTTTAAGTTTTACAATAACTCATTTTACTGAAAAGTGTTTCTTGAGTCAATAGAGACAGGAGAGCATAAGGCAAGGGGCAATGATAATACACTAAACATCAGGGAAAGAAGGTTAGAGTAAAAAATCTTCCTCAGTTTGCACGTGCGTGAGGGGTGATGATGGGTGCTGGCTTTTAGGATGATGTAAAAAAAAAAAAAAAAAAAAAAAAAACGCAGTACCAAAGTGTATAAATTAAGATGTTTCAGATAAAAGAGAAGTGGGAATAATGTCCAGACTGCATAGGGGGATTTCCTCTCATGTGTGACCCTGAACCGCTGTCCAGAGTGAAACCTTCACTCGTGAGTCGTGACAGACTGCTGAGTGTCCAAAAGCCATAACATGACCAACGCCTCAGTATGTTTTAAGAAGACAAACTACAGATTTCATTTGTAGCGCTTCTTCAAAATGGAAATGTGTATAAAGTAGGGGGAGAAGATGGATCATAAGCACCTTTTGCACAAGTTACCTTTCAAAAGTTTGGGGTCAGTAAAATGTTTCAAAAGTCTCTTATATGCTCACCAAGTGCCAAAAATACAGTAATATTGGGGAAAATTATTGCAATTATTCTATTTCAATAGATAAGGTACACAACTGTATTTTTACATTCACTGTAGGATAACATGGTGAGTTAGAAATGTTCATACTTAGTGTGTGTCAACTACTACGTAAACGAATGTAAATATGAACAGTAAGTTAACCTTACAGTAAAGCTATTAACAGGCACTGTTCATGATTAGTTCATGTTAACTAATGCATTAACTAATGTTAACTAACCGTGCTGTTAATGTGAATTGGTGCATTAGTACATGTGTGAGTTAAGGTTAACAAATATTAACTAATGCTCAACAGAGATGTTGTTTATGGTTATTTCATCTTAACTAAAGCATTAACTAATGTTAACTAACCATGCTGTTAATGAGAATTGATGCATTACATGCAAGTTAACGTTAACAAATATTAACTAATGCTGAACAGAGATGTTGTTCATGGTTAGTACAAGTTAACTAATGGAACATTACTGTAAAATGTCACCATAAAAGTTAATGGATTAACAAATGAGCCTTGCCTTTTCTGAGATGGAGTCATGAGGTTAACCATTTTATCACTGCAGAACTTCTTCATGGAGTAGAGATCTAATGCATGTTCCTCACTAGGTACAAGAGAACATGAAACAGGTCACAAATTAATGTACAAACCTATAAAATATATTTATTTAGCCACTTGTGCAATCGATTAACATACAGTACATGCCACAAAATGCAATTCAAAATACATTCACAACGCTTTCATATATTTTAATATAGACTGATTATGATACACTTCTGCTTTATGACAGTAGTCTAAGTCTAATAATCAGCCTCTGATTGGGCTGCTTCTATAGGGAGGGATCTTATTATAGGTCTTGAAGGTTGTTCTATCTAAACCCATATGAATTTCGTTCCTCCTTGGAAAAATAATCCTCTTAATAATCCTGCTCTTATAATCCTTCCCCACCAGTGAGTTTTTAACTTGAGAATCTCTGTGACTGGATAACTGAGCAAATCCTTCAGACTGGATTTGTGAACTGGTTCAACTAATTCATTGAAAAGATCCAAATCAAAACAATGGAAAACTGGACATTGCACATGAACTCTCAGAATCAGTATTTTCAGTGAATAATGACTTAAATTCAAATCTCTTTCCTACACAGAGCTATTATATGAACTCGGAAGACCTGAAATATAGGGCCAGATTTACTAAACATGGTAGATTTAGTGTGAGAGCACAATTCCAAAAAAAGCGCAGATGGGAGAGGAAAGTTCAGCGCGTGATTTACTGACAACACAAATTAAAAAACACAGATCGCAGTCGCATTATTTCCACAATGACAATCTACCAAGCAACGCAAATTAGAGTCTGGTTTAAGACATGCTTTTTGGGCAGTATATAATGGTGCAAACACCAGTAAATCACCTTGCATGATCTATGTCTTGAAGGGAAACTCCTACAAATGCAATAAGGCCAGCCGCAAAAATAACCCTGTCCGAGCCTTTTCAGCGCTTATTTTTCACTGCGTGTCTTTAGTAAATCTTGACAGTAGTTTTCTAATGCCAAAATATGGTTTGCGCTGGCGCAATCTATTAGTAAATCTGGCTATATTCCATATAGACTACTTTTTAATGTGCATTTGAGTGCTTTTCAAAGTAACAATTGTCATTTTTGTGGTGAACTTTCCCTTTAAGCAGCTTTTCTGAGAAGGCAATTGTCTTATAAGGATATTTTGACTTGTTAACAAAGGATATGAATTAAGTTGTACCTGGTGGAAACATTAGATAGTTGGATGTAAGAGGATATTACCACACCCACCCTGTCTTTGCTGCCCTATATGAAAGAGACAGAAACAAGTTAACCAAGTTTGACATAGTACGCAGGGATAAATAATGGACTATTAAAAGGAGCTGTATGTAAGAAATTTATTTCAAATAATCATAAAAGGGCCCTGAAATTACACAATCATGTTCATTTCAAATACTTTTATCACTGAACACAGGATTTTGTCATTTAAAGGGATACTTCACCGTTTTTTCACATTAAACTATGTTATTCCCTTAAACTGAAATTTACCATCACGACCTATTGGTTTTCATTAAACCGAGAAAAAATGGAATTTTGTTCCATTTCTTTTAAGGTGAAAAGGATTCATTTGCCTCGATCCACGCCGAAAAAATTTCTAAATGTCACGTTTTTAATGAAGCAGCCTAAATAGTCCACTTTGGAAAATGTGTAGATGTGACGGTTTAACCCCCTCAAACGTGAAACTTACACGTTTGCGTTAACACGCTCCAGTGGAGAGATATTCGCCTCTGCCATAAAGACATAAAGAAAAATTGAATTTTGAAATGTTCTATTTAAAATGCAAAAAAAAAAATAAAAAATAAAAAAAAATATTTTCAAGGTGAAAAGGATTCATTTGCCTGGATCCACGCCGGAGAAAACTTCTAAATGTCACGTTTTAATGAAGCAGCCTAATGAGTAAAATGTCTATTTTTCCGGTGTCCCACAGCTCCTCGTTTAAGCAAAAGGTACGCTAACGTATTACATCGACGTTAAACCATTAACCGTGTTAACCATAACCTTTTAAATACTCGACATAGTTCCATTGCTTAGCAACGGGAAGAAACTCCTGTAACTTCAGTGCCCAACCCGTATCACGACAAGATGTGAAATAATGACGTTGGTCCACTTTGGAAAACGTGTAGATGTCACGGTTTAGTTTAAACTCAAAACCATAAATAGGGCTATACTGCCCTCTTGTGTATATTTCTATATTTATTTTTCCAACAAATAAAACCAAACCTTTACTGTCTATTTTCAATAAAAACCCATTCAATACATCTTTGAACTCAACAGACTCAGTAGCTCAATTGATAAAGCGTTGGTCTTTAATCAAGAAGACCTTAGTTCAAATCCCATTCTTTAAATTGTTATCAAACAAAGTGGCCAAAACAACAACAACAACATTTCTTCAACCCGGTATCACGACAAGACGTGAAATAATCACGTTGGTCCACTTTTGAAAACGTAAACCCCCTCAAACGTGAAACTTACACTTAAACTGAAACTTACCATCACGACCTATTGGTTTTCATTAAACCGAGAAAAATGGAATTTTGTTTTATTGACGATCACTGAGAAATGGTCTATTATTTAAAATGCAAAAAAAAAAAAAAAAAAAAAAACATTTATTATTTTCAAGGTGAAAGGGATTCATTTGCCTGGATCCACGCCGAAAAAAAAACGTCTAACGTCACATTTTTAATGAAGCAGCCTAATAGTCCACTTTGGAAAATGTGTAGATGTCACGGTTTAACCCCCTCAAACGTGAAACTTACACGTTTGCGTATAACACGCTCCAGTGGAGAGATATCCAGATGTTTATTTCGCCTCTGCCATAACGCCTATCGGTTTAAACCGAGAAAAATGGAATTTTGTTTTATTTACGATCACTGAGAAATGTTCTATTATTTAAAATGCAATATATATATATATATATATATATTCAAGGTGAAAATGATTCATTTGCCTCGATCCACGCCGAAAAAATGTCTAAATGTCACGTTTTAATGAAGCAGAGTAATGTACCACGTTAACCGTGTTAACCATAACATTTTAAATACTCGACCTAGTTCCATTGCTTAGCAACGGGAAGAAACTCCTGTAACTTCAGTGCCCAACCCGTATCACGACAAGACGTGAAATAATCATGTTGGTCCACTTTGGAAAACGTGTAGATGTCACGGTTCTTTAGTTTAAACTCAAAACCATAAATAGGGCTATACTGCCCTCTTGTGTCAAATTATATTTCTATATATTTTTTTTTTTCCAACAAATAAAACCAAACCCGCAATAAAAACCCATTCAATACACCCTTGAACTCAACAGACTCAGTGGCTCAATTGATAAAGTGTTGGGCTTTAATCAAGAAGACCTGATTTCAAATCCCATTCTTGCTTACGTTAAATTGTTGTGATTATATTAAACAAAATGGCCAAAACAACATTTCTTCAACCCGGTATCACAACAAGACGTGAAATAATCACGTTGGTCCACTTTTGAAAACGTGTAGATGTCACGGTTTAAACCCCCTCAAACGTGAAACTTACACTTAACTAAGACGAGTTGATACATATCTCTGTCGTCTAAGCGCGTGCGCTCAATCGCTCTGGCACGCGAGGTACTTTGATAGCACTTAACTAGCCCAGTTCATTAAATACGGGCCAAGCAGAAAAGCGACCGAACACCTCCATGTTTTCCTTATTTAAATACAGTTACTTGAGCAGTGTAACTTGACCTAGGACGGTGACACAAAATAAAACGTTGCGCTTTTCTAAGCGTGTAAAATGGATAACTAGATTGTATGGCGGAATACCACAGCAAGTGATTGGGAGCACTTCGACTCGGCGCAGTAATATCATCCCTCGTGAAAAGTCCTCTTATGTACACCGCTCTACAGTAATTTAAAAAGCGATTGCAGTACCAGTTTTGGCCACAATCTTACATACGGCTCCTTTAACCTGAGAATAAAGTGCAAATAACTTCAAATCTCACTTTGCAGTGCAGCAGAAGCACATTTTCAGGATGTGCACTGAGCCAGTTGTTCATGTTTTTACACAGAGAACAGAGCAGATGGAGTGATGGAGCGTGACTCTCCGGCCAGCCCAAATCCACCACCTAACAGGGTCAGAGATGTGAGCAAACAGTCATACATATACTGCCGTTCAGATGTTTGGGGTCAGTTTGAGTTTTCAACACTGATAAGAAGAAATTTCCCCAGCAGCAATGATCATAGGAGTGATTTCTGAACGATCATGTGAGACTAAAGACTGATGCTGAAAATTCAACTTCGATCACAGAAATACATGATATTTTAAAATATATTCAAATAGAAAACTTATTTTAAATTGTACGTTTAAAAAGTTTAAAAGTTTCAGTCTTGGTGAGCAAAACATGTTATCAAAAACATTAAAAATGACCCCAAAGTTTTGAATGGCAGTGCACATTTGTCATCACACATCGGTAACATCAGTCACATGACACATTTTAAACTTACCCTGTGATTCATTCTGCTGAGATCATCACTGTGTTCGGATAAGTTGATGACCTGCGTGCAGGAAAATAAAGATTTTGTTCCTCGTGTCCCCAAGAGTAACACTCTGACACAGTCACAGAGAAATGTGATGTGTTGGTTTTCTCACCATGTATTGATCAGCATGTTTGGACTGCAGCATCTGCGTGATGCTGCGCAGGTTGTGTCGGTACGTCTGCTCTGCGCAGAAATGGCCGAATGTGACACCAATGATGCGCTCCGTAATGTACTTCAGGTCAAATTCATATCCCTCCGCCATCACAGTGGTGTTCCCTCATGTGAGGAGATCTGCAGAGAGGATGAGACTGGATTCAGTAAGGACTCTTTACAATTTATGCATGTAGGGATGACCAAATCTGCAAGGATCCATGGAAGAACGGCACTGGTTGGCACTACAGGCAAAGGACAGTTTCTAAGACATGCAGAACTTTTTGCATCATTTCATTTCCTTATAAATCTTTGTTCAAATGCAACTTTAATACATGAAAATCTGTAGGTTCTGAGTGGTTTTAGACCACTAAATGTATCTAAATGTCTGTCACTTTTATTTAATCCATCCTTGCTGAATAAAAGCAAAAATAAGAAAAAGAAAAGAAAATCTTACGGGCCCCAAACTTTTGAATGGTACACTCTAAGCAATTATGGGTTGTTTGAACCCAAATTTGGGTAAAATATGGAGAAACCCAAATGTTGGGTTAAACATTTTTTATTTCAAATTTTAACCCAACTTCAACTTTCACTTTCAACTGTAATTTTTTTCAATTGCAATTAAAAATGTTTTTTATTTATTTATTATAAAATTAATTTTAAATTTAACCAACCATTTGGGTTTGTCCATATTTGACCCAAATTTGGGTTTAAACAACCCAGCATTTTTTTAGAGCGTAGAGTACAGAAATGATCATTTGAATAGTGGCATTTAAAAATACATGCAGAAATAAAACTGAAACCACAGTCTGAATAAGCAATCACAGGATGCTTCCTCAATTATTTTCATTCAGTATATCTCTTCCTCTAGAAAAAGAAAAGACCAGTTTGGCTCATATTATACTGCACTTCAGGCTACAATATATGGAATCAGTGTCAGAAATAATGCTTTTAGAAAGTTCAAAAGAATAAAAAAAGACCTCTAACACGTAGCACACAAGCTTCCAATTCATAAACACATGACAGACAGTGAGTCTCTTAAATGACATTTGTCTGACCCCTGTCATGTGATGGTGGAGAGGCAAAACAGATCCACTGAACTGAAGTGAGACTCAAAATGAACCAATCAGACCACTTCTTTTGAGTTGACCTGACACAAAGTGGACACACCTATTGACAACACAGACACAAAGAGGACTTCACAATGATTTCAGTTCTCGCTTCAATTTACGTCTCACTCACTATTCTCCACTTCTAGCAAAGGTTGATTTTTTTGTCCATTTACTGCAAAATGGAGAATAATATAACTTTAGATTGTGTACAAAGGCTTACACGACTGATCTGCTCACCTTGTTCCCTGTTCACACCAGATTAGATTTCTTAAAGTTCATCCACTTTCACCTTCACCATGTGCTCCATGCGGACGTGCGTCTGGTCACTTATCTACAGTATGTTTAATCCGCAACCCGTTTAACCTTCAACCTCTAACTAGATCTGTTAAGAAAAAGAAACAAAACACAAATTATCGCTCACCTGAGTGCTATCGTCATTGAAATACTCTATATAGAAACCAGCTGAAAGAACTCACCCTTCTGTCTGGCTGAAATCTCCTCTCTCGTCTGAACGTCTGTGAATACGGGAAGAGAAAAGAAAGGTAGCAAAAGGCTTTGTCTGGTCCGTGACTGAGCTCACATGTACTTTGGCCGTTGTTATGTATGTGTGTTTTCACCCGTTGTCAGCACTTGTTTGTGTGGCAAGCATGAGTAAAGAAGCACTACCAGGGGAACACTTCTCCCACAAAGAAAAAGCCCTGAGTCACATATGGACATGTGATGTAGTAATACTGGACACTTCTCTTTTGTCTTTGCGTGTTGGAAAGGCCGAACTTTATATAACACATGTAAAATACAAACATTTATCATAGTGATCCATTGATTTCTAAATAATTGAAATTATGTGAGCCCACGTTTGTTTAGTTTTTTTCCATGCTTTGACTGTTACTGGGTCATTATGGTTAAATATTACCAGCATGTGCATTATTCCAGCTGTATCTAGAGCTGTGCGATTATGCCGGCCAATCACAAACTGAAAACAGCTCTAACAGTATGACAGCTAAACTGTGTAAACACAAATGTGTTTTGAGGTTTTACTATGTAATTCCAAACAACTGTATATCCATAAGGAATCTTCAAAATATATATTTTTTTAATAACATCAAGAAAAAGATTACATTTGTCACAGTGAAAAAAAAGATTGCATCATGAATGCTAAAGTCATATTCAGCTGTAATGCTATTTAAGGACAAATATCATAGTAAATGTGAGGTCAAACTTAGGGGCCAGAATTACATGTGTATGTATCTGCTGCCCCCTATTGGACAATTAGCCATAAAGAATTAATATAGTTCACCCAAAATCATTTTAGACATGTCATTCCAAACCTTTCTTCTGGGGAACGTAAAAGAAGATATTTTGAGAAATGTCTCAGCATTTTTACCCTACAATGGAAGACAATGGTTACCAAAACCAACCATTGCAGAGTCTTCAAAATATCTTCTTTTGTGAAAGGCATTCAGGTTTGTATATAAAGTGTGAGTGAATGACAGAATTTTAGTGTTCTGGATGAACTATCCCTTTAAAATATTCAGCACATATCTCAATATCCAATGCCAAATTTGAAATTTCATCTCCAAAAATGACATAATTCTACTAATATCTATTGATTGAATTTCTTCATTAAAACGGTTCACATAATATTTTGTATTAATGAGGCTAAATGCCACAGCTTAATTTGTATTTTACCAAGGATTTATACAATATTAACTGAACTATTTACCAAAATAAAACTAATTACACTCTAAAAAAAAGTCAAACATTTTAGAAATGTAAAAAAAAAAAAAAAAAGAAGAAAAGTAAGAAATTAAAACCAGTTTATGTACATCCAGTCAAGAAGATTTCAGTCTACATTTCAGACATAGAGGTCAGAATTAACAGTTCTTTCTTTGGGACCTCTGGTTTCCTCTCTTCGTTCGGCTTTGTAACGTTCCCGGTCCTTAAAGTAACTTCTGACTTCCTGGATTGTTTTTCCTGTTAAATAGGTGCCAGCAGCATACAGAATTGCGGTTATGATTCCAAATAGTGCGACAGATGCATCCCCCCCATTTACGCTACAGTTCATCCAGGTATATCCGCTACGAGCATACAGTCGTTCACGTTGAAGGCACATGTCGGTTGAGTTCACATAGATCACGAAATGCAGGTACAAACCAACAGCAACCACGTAAGCCACAGCACCAATGATCTGGAACGAAAACTGTCCAATCAGGATCTTCCGTGGAAGCCTGTGGGCAGGTTTGCTGCCGGACACCACGAACAGGAGTGAAAGAACACCAAATGTGAGGCTGAAGGCCACGCCTCCATAGACTAGAGGTGCTCTCATTTGTCCGAACTGCATGTCAAGTTCACGCACTTTCTGCAGCTCCGTCCCCTCAAAAGGAATTATGGCGTCGATAAAGCTTCCGCCGCCCATACCCATCGCAGACATTCCCATCTGTGACATGTGAGCAGCCACCACGCAGATGAGCACCAGCACATTGGTCATGATGGAACATAACAACACGATACCTGAAACACACACATGCAACTACATAAGAAACTGCAATCTTTAGGGCAGGGGTTTTCAAACTTTTTAATGCCTAACAACCCCCCAATATGATGATCATCTGGTGAGGGACCCTCTTCCCAAAATAAATGCAACTATGTTTTCAAGTACACAGACACATTTATAAAAATAGTAAAAGCAGTGCAAATTTAAATTATATTAATTATCAAATAAAAACAACATAGGAAATGCAGTGTTGCGCAGTGATAAATAGAACCGTTGGGTGAAGCGGTCATAGCCATGTTTTATCATTTGTTATAACCAATCAGAATCAACTATTGGAACTAACCGTTATATATATATATATATATACACACACATTTATGTCATATTAAGTTGTCAGGATATATATATATACACACATTTATGTCATATTAAGTTGTCAGGGTATCTAGTTTTTAACTTTTTATCATATATTAAAATATAAAAAAAAAATGGTAAAGCTCTTTTCAGAAAAAAAAAATATTATTAAAAAACAGAAAATCATTCCATAATTAGTAATTAAGGCAAATTTGAATTTAATGATGAAAAAGAATGCTACATTGTATTTTTATCCCTCAATAACTATTTTTTTTAGAGAACATACATACAATAGAATCCGTAAATGTAACATGTTTAACATATTAATTTAATATGTCAAAAGTTTAAAAAGCACCAAAAATAAGAGATGAATTATTGGGGCAATATGGGGACTCTAGAATATTGAGTTGGACAATAAGGGGCTTTTGAGTCAAAAAGGTTGATTTCTCTGTTTAAAAGACAATCAATACATCTGTCAGTGCCCTTAAATTACACAGTGTACTGTATTGTGTACAACTGACCATGTTTGTATCATGTGAGTGGAAGAATGACAAAATGTGCATGTGTTATTGTGCATTTGTGTTTTTACAAGTATGTCAATAGAGTGCAACAGACAGGTTCTAAAATTAAAAACTCCATGGGGAAATTGAATGAATATTGATTGAATTTTGAATGATAACTTATAAGCCTTTAAAGACAGCCAAGTTGTGAGCTACGGAAATGTTAATTTATGGTATTTGCTGCTGTTGAAGATGTCAGCCCAAATTACTTCAGCTTTTTATTTTAAAAAAAATTATTGAACAGTGAAAAACTACATTACCCATGATTATGTAAAGAAAAACACCGATCAGAGATTTACACAGTAAATATAAAATCATAATTTGTAAATGAGTATATTTTAAATTTCTCCATAGTTTAAAATTTTATTATGCTGTTCGCAATGCTTGATGGGATTGTAGTTCTTAAGTACAGTCTTGTACCTTTTTCTTTTTGTCTGATTTTCAAAAACTTTTTTGCTTCAAAATACAAGGTTGTAGTGTTGTGATTCACATTGTCGCTGATTGGCTTGGTACATGACTTTAATGGACTCTTTAATGAAGACTTTTTTTTTAAATCCTTATGAAAAAAAAAAAGGAAAATTTACTTCCCGAACAAGCACAGCTGAAAAAGATGGCCAGACGCTAACATAATATAAAGTGAACAATAAAAATGTTTGTAATATTTAAAATATATTTTATTTAATTTTTGAAAAACAATGTAAACAATATACTAAAAGAATATAACTTAATACAATTTTATATTTATAATATTAATAAAATAATTTTATAACAATCTGAGACAATGTCAGAGTTCATTTAAATACGCATACTATACCTAGTGTATTTGTTTGTTCAAATTAGTATGAGGACAAATGTTGCATATGTCTGTTCAGTGGAAAACAGTAAAGGTTTGTAAATGAAAGATTAGTATCAACAAGCTTAAAAAAGCTAAACCGGTTAGACCAGCTGGGACGAGGAAAGGAGTAAATGCATAGTGTCGTGTCAGAAGGTGCTGCTTGAGCTAGAGTAAACCAGTTCTGTGTGAGATCATGTTTGAAAAAAAAAAAAATCATGATCGCAAACTTGACACCCAAATTCAGAGAATTACATGAAACTGGTTTAGACTCTTATACGCAGTTGTTTAGATGCATTGGTTGCATTCCAACATGCATACAGCAACATGTGTCTCCCATCCATTGATAGTTCTGGCCGTCTGTGAATGCCTACCTCTCCTGGAACAGACGTGAGAGCACTTTGACTCCTGGTGTTGCTCTCGAGGAGCGCTCCTCACAGATCTCTGATCATTTCTGGGGTAGAACGGGGGCTGGCTATAAGACAAGTGTCAGACACAGCATGATTTAAAACAATGGCTTGTAATGACGTACAAAATACAAAAAAATGGTGAATATTTGTGTGTTGTTGCTTGTTTGAACAGTGTATCATCTCACCTCCCACTGCCTGATCGTCGGTCACTAGGACTGTCCCGTCGGGTGTGGGGATCTCTGTCTCTACTACCACCATTTCTCTCTCTCTGTGCACGCTGGTTTCTGGACGGCTGGCTCATTGCTACATGAGGGAAAGATGATTTGATGTGTTATGTGCTTATAGCAGAGGTTTTCAAATTTTACAGAACCAGGGGACCCCGGCCAGACTTTGAGGGAATCGAGATATCCCTATAACAATGGATATAATACTTGTCATTAATGACATAGGCATACATGCATATTTATGAAGTATTATAGGTCTATACATTTTATAGTCTGAATGATTTATCTGCCACAGACTCACCCGTAACAGTTTTTTCGAGGACTTGATTTAGAGTAAAATGTCTACATTAACATTTCAGCATTTTTTTATATATATTATCAAGGCAATCATAACCGTCCCTTCCGAAAATGATATGGTTTTACGACATATAACATGGTTAATTTTCGTCAGGGGTTCTAACACAAATGTTTCAGCTTTCTGCCTCGCAAAGCAACCGGAGCGTCTCGGTTCCACCTGTCTTTTGTTTCGGTTGACATCAGCATTTATAAACAACATTACACTTTAGTTTTTTCTTAACAGATATAGGCTATACCAAACAATGTTTGTAAACACAACGCAAAAATAACTTACTTGCTTATAAGGCGCTGATCACATTTGTTTTGTTTTTCCAAATCAAAACTCCACTTCCCACAGTCACGAGACCGAAACCCGTCAGTGAAATCTCGCGATGATCACCTGTATAACAGGTGGGGTTGAGCAGGTGACACGCGGCTACTCTCTCTGAGACGCACTATGAAAGAGCTCGTTATCTGTGTGATCGCTTATTCAATCTGTCCTAAAAGATCCAATCTGTGATAGCCTAACGGGAGCAAGGGTCACGTCACACCGCTGTCTGAGATCATAGGTTTGTGCCCGCAACAGAAGTGGCTTTGTTTGGATCTAAACCTACGCCAATGAAGAGGAATCCATGGGGTTTGATTCATCCAGGCGAGGCGACTCGATTCTTTTGAATCATTCACCAAAAAGATTAATTCACTGAGTTGACCAGTAGGGTGGGTGCACTGCACACACTGACACACGTTTCGAAACGGGGCACGGTTCCCATGAAAAATTGCTATATTTGATAATGTGAAACCAGTCGTGACTTATGATGACCCGGATGCGCACCGTACCGAACCCGCAAGCCTACCAGGAGGATGAGCGTTGCACTCTTTTACAAGCTTGCCCTCGAACAGTGACGCGACCTCAAGATCACGCCATTACTCTAGTGAATGTCGATAATCAAGTGTCTTTTTGTGGATGAGTCACACAAATGATTCTTTAAAAAAAAAAAAAAAAAGTTTTTTTTTTAAATACACACTGAGGATGGAGACATTTGAATCCAGCATTTGAATACTGAAGACAGGAACGAACGCAGTCATAGCCTACGCTTCAAAAGAGTCTGCAAAATAAAAATAATGCCAAAAATATATAACTTAGGCTATATATTTTTTCTTCTAAAAATAACATCTTGCAGACATCAAATAGACATCTCCAAGATGTAGCTTACTTGTGTTATCAGAGTATGAGTGTGTGTAGTATGAAACAAAGATAACGACTAAGAACAATCTGGACGGACTACATCCGTTTGCATCCTGCCGAGACTATGTCCTCAGTTCAGTCCTTCAGACTTGTAGGCTAGTCTCCTCAGTTAAAATGCTTGTCTCCATTCCGCTAAAATGACATGCAGAGCCGGACAATAATGGAGTAAATTTAGTACAGTACTTGAGTACAATTTTGAGGGATAGGCTACTTTACCCAAGTATCATTTTTGGGGAGTAGGCCTACTCATGACTTTACTCATGTACATTTGAGAGGGAAACATTGTACTCTTTGCTCCCCTACATTTCCATTCATAACCGTGAGTACCCATCACTACTTCTAAAAAAAAAAAAAGAAAAATCCCAGAAACCCTCAATTTGTTGTTTTTTCTCTCAAACGTGATTGGATTGTGCAGGTGCCACTAATTGGGACAGAATATCAGCACCTTCACCTTTCCGCCAAAGTACTGTAAACTCCATGGTCAGATTTAGATAAAAGACAAAACCATGGATGAAACAATGGATGAAGACGCAGCAGGTCCATCCTGGGAATGTGCCAACCTGTGACCCCACCTCGCCAGACTATTTTCATTTTGTGAATTTTCTGAAATTTTCTTAAAGGATGGACCAGCTGCGTCTTCATCCATAACATAACATCTTCATAACATGTTTCAAAACTCCATGTAGTACGTTTTTGTACATAAATGTATAAGCACCGTGGTAGTAGCAATGCAATATTTAGAAAATGAACTCTTGATACTCAAGTACTTTTAAAAACAAATACTTCAGCACTTTTACTTAAGTAGACATCTGACTGTTGTACTTTTACTTGTACTTTAGTAAAATTTAGCAAGGGGTATCTTTACTTTTACTCAAGTAATAAAGCTGTGTACTCTGTCCGCCTCTGTCTAGTCAGTGTGCGTGGCTACGTCATAAATCTTTTCATGCCTGGAGTCACGTCACGAAAATACTATTTAAACTTAATTCTGGAAAAACACTTTGTTTTGCACATCTTTACATTAACTGGCTTTTTATTACTGTAAAACAGTGAATAACAAGCATCTCTGGTCTCAGTGACTTACATTATTGACAATTTAATGTTAAGTGATTAATTTACAGCAAAACAAAAGATAACATCTATAATTGCATATCCAAAAACATACTTTTTTGCCTTACATTTCATAACAAACTCAGTACAAACTTGTTTTCCGTCAGTTTATTTTGATTAATTTAAATGTGTGCAAAGGATTGTGGGGGATTTAAGACCACAATGGATACATCCGATGCATCCTTCAAAACAGGCCGAAAGAAGGACGCGAAACGAAAGCTGCCTTCCAAGGATCCTTCAAATTGAGATGGCCTTCAGCGACGTTTGATGACGTGGCAGCCGAGATATGTTTGAGAAACACCTAGTCTACTCTTTTATGAGGACTGAATTCAGTCACATACTGTTTTTACTATGTAGTAGGGAAGATGCAGCCATAAACACCACTTGAAATGGGTTGTTGTCTAGGCCCTAAGGCATCTTCCTTCTGGAATGTTGTAATAAAATAACATTAGGTCATTTATATGCACATATGCAACTATGTGTCAGTGTCAACTGTAAATATCCAGCAATGCGAAAAAAAAAAAAAACCTCAATGAAAGTTTTTGTCAGATTAATACACTGTGATGTCTTTATGGATTCCTATTAAGAATCCATGTTAATGTCTCAGATGTGTGTTCACTGGATAGGCTTTGTCGAATACAGTATAAAAGAATAAATTAATTATGTGGGGGTTGTTACAAAAAGACTGTGTGTGACTTGGCATTTCACAAGGACCACATTCATCTGCTGTGCCATTGTTTTGGTTCAAGCAAGCAGTGCACTTTAAAGAGATGAATGGCTTACATTTACTGTCCAGTGTTTAGTGACTTGGTTCTTTAAAAGAAGACACTGTTGTCAAATTCATCTTTATATTCAACAGATAGTTGGAAGCAGCTCTCTGCAGTTGTGTAATTGATAATCAGAGGCTCTGAATTGGTTAATGCGCCTAATTAACATAATTGATTGGCAGGCCTGTGGTTCCACCCGGTTTCCAAGACAAGACATTTGATTGTGTTTTATGTTTGTGTGTTTGGCTTTTCATGTTGATTTCTAAATTGTAGGGGGGTTTTTTTGTAATGTACATGCTGACACGGGTGTTGTAGAAATGGATTCTGGGCTTGAGGACCTAGAGCTGAGAGAGTCACAGAGGGAGTATCTGGACTTTTTGGATGATGATGTGAAGTATTTTATTCCGTGTCTTTTTTTTTACCTTTTGATTTGTGCAAACACTAACTAATTTTGTCATTTACAGCAAGACCAGGGTATTTATAATGAGAAGGTCAGGAGTATGGTGTCTGAGGGCCGGTGTCGCCTTATTGTTAACATTAATGACCTGCGACGGAAAAGTGAAAAAAGAGCTAAAGCGTGAGAATTATTTAAAAAATGAATAAAACATATGTTCTCATTTTATTCACAATATTCTCATATCGTGAAGAACTTTGACCATGATCTGATCCCTGAATCTTCTGACACTGATCTGATTAATTGTCTCTTCTCAATAGATTACTGAAGAATGCTTTTGCTGAGCTGGTGGCGTTCCAGAAAGCCCTAAATGACCTTGTGAGTTCAATAGATGCCACTTACGCGAAGCAGTTCGAAGAGTTCCACGTTGGATTTGAGGGCAGCTTTGGGAACAAACATGTGTCTCCGCGTACTCTAAGTGCACGCTTTCTGGGAAATCTGGTGTGTGTGGAAGGAATTGTGACCAAGAGTGAGGATTCACTTCATTTTACAAATTATAATCTTTTCAAATAGTTAAATACAATTTTGTTCCGCATTTCAGACTCTTGATTATTCGATTGACATGTTTAGGTTATAGCTATGGATTTACACTTAGTATAGATCTATGTAATGTGGATGTTTATACATTGTTTTAAGTTGAGCACAAGGGCTCGATTTCAGAGACATGGTTAAGATTAAACCAGGATTAGGCCTTAGTTAAATTAGGACATTTAAGTGGCTGCCTTAGGAAAAAAAACATTACTGTGCATCTTGTGACATGTTGCATTGGCATATTTTGATGCTTTCAGTTAAAACCGCTCACATGCATTTTAGACTGGGACTATAGCTTAAGCCTTGCTTTTTTAAGTTGTCTTTTCTAATTTGTATTTTCATGTTATCTGTAGGTTCCTTGGTCAGGCCCAAGATTATGCGTAGTGTCCACTATTGTCCAGCCACCAAGAAAACCCTGGAACGAAAATACACCGATCTTACCTCATTGGATGCTTTTCCTTCCAGTGCCATCTATCCAACCAAAGTAAGTTGTTTATGTATTACTTATAAACTATTTAACTATTTGATTCAGTTTAATATGTTCTGTTGGTTGTATTTTATCCCAGCTTTTATGTAGTGTTAAATAACTGAAACAGGAAGTGCTTCTGGACCAGTTTTGTTTACATCTTGCAAAATGGTCACATTAATTCGAATAAATATAGAAAGTCATCTTTAGTTGCTCCTGTAAGCCATTCTTATCATTGAAACATGGATGTTTATATAGGAGCAAGTTGACCAAATCACAGTAAATGATCATGCCAGGATAACCACTGATTTAGTATTATGATGACAAGAATCAAAATAAATCTTGCATTTGTAGGATGAAGAAAACAATCCTCTGGAGACGGAGTTTGGGCTTTGCTGCTATAAGGACCACCAGACGCTGACCATTCAGGAGATGCCTGAGAAAGCCCCTGCAGGACAGCTGCCACGATCTGTCGACATCATTGCCAATGATGACCTGGTTGACCTGGTGAAACCAGGTGACCGCGTGCAGATTGTAGGGGTCTACCGTTGCTTGCCTGCGAAACAGGGTGGCTTCACCAATGGGACTTTCAGGTGTGTATATATATATGAACTTCTGATCGGGTTGGAAGGTCATGTCCTCAGATGAACCTCTTGATTCTTTGCAGAACAATCATGTTGGCTAACAATGTGAAGCTTATGAGTAAAGAGATTGTGCCGACGTTCTCTGCAGATGATCTTGCCAAGATCAAGAAGTTTTGCAAAGCTCATTCTAAAGTAAGGGAGACGCATGTGGGTTTTATTCTAAACTTGGCTGCAATTCTCAAGTTAGACCGTAGAGTATTAATGGTTTCTAAAAAGTATTTGGCTTGCAGTGTTTTTGAGAAATTCTGCCCTGATCCGTTTCATCTTCGCTGTGCAAGGTAAGATTATTGTCATGTTTCAGGATGTCTTTGAGAAACTGAGTCATTCTTTGGCTCCCAGTATCCATGGCCATGAGTACATAAAGAAAGCTATTCTGTGTCTGCT